CTTTTTCTGGGAGGTGGGGGAGGGGTTCAGCCAGTTCCTCGGAGAGCGCGCGTTAGCCATGACTTCTGAAAATATCCGGGATGCTTCCTAATTTCTTGTAGGTCTATGACCTTCAGATTTAGGAAGAAAGTGTCCCGCACCCACTCCATGAAGATTCTTTTTTACGTTGCAAAGTTTTCTAAAATTCCATTATTCTGAAAACAAATCAGACTTTTTATAATCATATGGGCTACTTTCAAAAATTTCCTCCACGCCCCTCCCACTCTCCCCTCTGTCCGCCATTTTTATAGAGACAAATCAAAAAATGCTCTAGCACCTTGGTAACATTCTCTGCAGCAGATGCTGGCTTCGTTTCTGTTCTTCGCGTAATTCCGCAGTTCGCTCATCGACCAGATCTTCTAACTGATTTTGATACTTTTCCATCATTACCATCATATGGTCCTGCAATCAATTCATACTCAGCTCTGGCCTGATATCGATAAATAACAGTTTCCTACCATGATGTTTCTTTTATAGATTCCAGCAAACATCGGTTTCAACCTCTGCCGGATTCCACTCTTGAAATCTGGACGATTTTCCGGATATTCCGACCAACACTGGCGCATGGTCTCCGTTACGTAATCCTGACCTTCTATACAAGAGAGATTCGGTCGACTGCAGGTGCCACCGGCTACTCGTGCAACAATTTCTGCAAAAAAATAATTTAGGGAAGGAGGAAGTGAAAGTACGGATCAACCTGGTTGGCTTGATTTTTTAATATTTATACCTTTTGACATGCAGATACAAACCTCTGTAAGAATTCACAGCTGTTATTCAGCCAAAATTTTTGTTTGAAGGCACCTTCAAACTTTTGTTCTCAAATGACATACATTCATTGTTTTCCGTCATTAATTAATGAGAATTGCTTGCTTGTACAGGTAGCCTTTTTTGAAGTTTCTCATATACATTTTCGTCTTTTGTAGTGAATATTGAATTATTTATTGGATACATATAAGCTTTAGCTATGATACCACTAGAGCAATTGCAACCTGCAGTTCATGACTTTTTATAGTCAAAAGATGATAATTTTGTGCGCGGAAGTCCATTTTCGAGCAATCCATATCACATAAGATTAACCTTATATGGTCATGCAAATGTTGCAAATATCCAAATTTCGTGTGTGCGTACCTTTCTACGTTTTACATTCGAATGTAAACTTTTTGCTACGTGGTTTTTGGAAATGTGGTGAAAAACTCTGATTTCATTCTCCCGCAGCATTTCGAAAAAAGTCAAAATGATTTCTGCTCGAAAAGTTGGACTGATTCTCCTTAATCACTATATCCAACGATTCCAAACTTTTATACAGAAATTTGTCAGTGTCATTTCAAACCGTTGAAAACGATCGAGGTTATTTAGCCAACCTAATGCGATTGTCATAACTGACCTGGCACTTGAGCATCGCTTTTAGCGAAAATTTGGAATGGCCCTTGTCGAGTGAAAATCTCGTGTAGAATTATGCCAAAAGCATAGACATCTCCTTTCTGAGTGCCTAAAATGTCACGCAATGTAAGCTATGTGTTTATATGTTTTTCTTATAAGCTGATTACCTTTAACGGAATGCTTCAGCTCACTCTCACGTAACAGCTCCGGTGCGCACCACAGATAACTCATCCACTAAAT